TCTCTTTGTTTCTGGGACAGTGGCTGGTCTTATAAAATCCTAGCATCATTGCTCAAGAACCCTAGACCTTTACCCTCTAAGCCCAAAGGAGGGCAGCTTGTTTTCATGTCTCCTGTCTAATATGCCATGTATTCAGTGACATCAGATAGTTTAACTACACGTTTGAGGTTGTGGAAAAATAAATCTTCAAAATCTTCTGGGAAACTGTTTGCGCAACTGTCACCCCTGCCTAGCCATGATGAGAATCTCAGACTTATTTGTTGTTATTCATTACTAATACCTAACCAGAAAATCTGGGCTCATTTTGGCTTTGGTTCCCTTAGAGGTAAACCTGATTCCATTAGAGTCAATGAAGTAAATTCAATGTCACCAATTGCTTCACTTTGCTATAACTGTACAGTTATTTCTTTTCCTTGAGTATGATTTTTCCATCTTTTAAGCAGAATTCTGACCCTATTGTTTTCATTTATTTACACCAAAAGGTGAATGACATATGTAGCTTAGTAATCTCCCTCTCAGAAATTTACTTATTAGGATCTGGTTGTTCGCTTTCTGATCACAGTAAAGAAACACAAGCAATTCCTAAGGTAGAAAGACAGTGGGATTTAGCTACTATAAAGGCCAAGTCAATATTCAGAGAGCCCCAGGGCTACTGAGTCTGCTTGTTTTAACACTTTGTTATCAAAGTGAGTCTACTTGGAGCTACCAGTGCTGGACTGAATTACAACAAGAGTAGACCCTAAGTAGGGCACCGGTTGCCATTCAGAGGGTGCGTATTTAAAAGATAATTCATGAATTTAGGCTAGGATGGGGTGATGATAATAATGGATGATGATGATAATAGTTAGCATTTATGTAGTGTCTACTGTGTGCCAGACATTTTACTAAGCATTTGTTCTTCATAGTAACCCTAGGAGGTAGGTGCTATTATTATCTCCATTTTACAAGGGAGGAAACTGAGGCAAACTGTACCACCTAGCAGCCACTATGATAAATTATCTATGACCTTGAACTGTCTTGCTACAGGTGTACAGGTAATTACTCCAGCCCATAGTGAACCATCGCTCTCTATCTGATCATGGCTGAAAGCACTTATTGTCAGTACTGTTCATCTGATCATTAGTCACATACTGTCATGCAGCATCTCTTTTATTATTGTGTGTTATTTTTCAGTCTTTTATTACTCTTTACCTTTTGAGGGAGTTATACCTTATTTCCCCAAAAAGATTCTAAGCCCCCTGAGGGGAAAGGATTGGTTCTCATAATTTCTTGTCTATCTCACATCCCTAGCACCATAGTATGTGCTCAGTAAACATTTACAGCAAAGTACGGTGAAAAGAAGGTCTGGAAAAAAGAAAAGAAAAGAAAAAGAAAAAAAAAGAAAAGAAGGTCTGGGTTCAAATCCTACCTCTTATGCTTGCTACTTGGATGGCCCCTGAGCAAATCATATGGCCTTCCATGGGCCTCAGTTCTCCTCAGCTGTTAGACAAAGAAGCTGGACTTTTGGTCACTGAGGTTTCCTTCATTGCTAGTTCTGTGATGCTTTTGCCAATCTACTGAAGTATAACTATGACAGGGTTAAACCTATATTGGGGAAAACCCTGTGATAGCCTCAGTTGTGTTTCAGCATGAGTGACCCAGTTCATTTTGCCATGGATTTGAAAGACTGTCTACAAATGCCCATCACTCCTCAGTGTGGGGAAGGAGAGGAAATAAGCATTTATATAGGGCCTATGTGCCAGGCACTGTTCTAAGCACTTTTACAAATATTATCTCCTTTGATCATACAAGTCCAGGAGGTAGGTGCCATTATTATCTCCATCTTACAGCTGGAGAAACTGAAGCAGACAGAGGTTAAGTGATCTGTCCATAGTTACACATCTGGTAAGTGTCTGAAGTCTGATTTGAACCCAGGACTTCAGCTGACTTGAAAGCACCAATGTTCTTTCAAGGTGACCAGATAAGCTATGCATGTTGTTATGTATGCAACAGTCATTGTCAGACTTATCTTCAAGCTGATCTCCTGCCCCAAACTACTGTGGCAAATGGTTTGAAAAGCTGTGTCACTGATTTGGGACTCAGAAATGTGCTTTGTAGTGGACACTCTTAACACCCATAATGCTATTAGCATCAACCTAACTCTCCCCGGAGTAATGTGAAATTTTCTCCAGCTCTTGGCAGCCCTGTAACGCTGTAAGCAAAAGCCTGGGATTCTTCACTTTGTTTCCTATTGTTTCCCATCTAGTCAGTGTGCCTTTACTTCATGAATATCAATCTGCTTTTTCAGGCTTCTTGCTTTTTTTTTGGGGGGGGGTTGTTTTTTGTTATTTTTTTAAATTAGTAGGAATGTAAAGGGAATGGAAGGGTTTGAGGTTTTTTGTTTTGATTTTAATTAAATTTTATTTTTTAATTAACAAAAATAGGATTTTTCTACCTCCTACTCCACCCCCATTGAGAAAGAAAGAATGAAAGAAAGGAAGAGAAAAGCCCTTTTAACAAATTTTCATAGTCAAAACAAATTACTACATTGGTCAAATCCAAAAATGTATGTCTCATTCTGCACCCTGAGTCCCCCAAGGAGATGCAAGAAAGAGTAAAAGGATGCATATGTGCAAAAATACTTGTAATGACTCTTTTGTAGTAGCAAAGAACTGGAAACTAAAGGGATGCCCATCAATTTGGGAACAGCTAAACAAATTTTGTTATATAACTGTAATGGAATACTGTTAATGAAGGGACGGTTTCACTGAAACCTAGAAGATGTATATGAATTGAAACAGAAGGGTTCTGAAAAATTTGGTGAGCTTTGAATTTCATACTAAATTTAAACCAGAAAAACATGGCATACAAAAAAAAGAAAGACTTGGCACAAAGTATAAATACATGAGAATTTATTTTCTCTATGGCACCAAATGGTGGGATACCATTACATATCTTCTTAAGCTCAGAGTGACTAAGATATGACCTGCAGAAACGGGGGGAGGCATTTATTTGTTAGGAGGTAGATTATTCCTTCATTCTTCCCTTTCTTCCTCCCCTTTCTTCCTCTTCCTTAATAATGGCTTGCCATGGAGAAGTTGAGGGGGCAGTGTGGTATGGTGGGGAGGGGTTCTGACTTACTGCATTTGGAGCCAGAAAACCTGAATTCAAGTCCTGGCTGGGCCACTTCCCTGTATGACTTCAGCAAAATTATTTAACCTCTCTGGGCCTCCGTTTCCCCCTCTGTAAAATGAAATGTTTGGAGTAGATGGCCTTTTGAACTTCTTTTGATCCATAATATATGGCCTCATGACACTTCAGTCACATGCCCCCAAATCCTTCTGTTCTTAATGTTTACATCCTCTTACTGTCTTTTGTTAACTATTTCTAAAAAGTTCCTTGCTCATTAGAAGGTTTTTAATTCCACTTCTGAGTCTGCATTTTAAAAATGTAGCAGGTGCCATGTCTGCTACATCTATTATTAGTGCAAAAAAAAAATATTAGATGAGAAGTGTAGTTTTGTAAACAAGCAATACCCATGTTTTAATAATCCTGTTAGAGCTAGACTAATGACTAATGATGACTAATACCTTCCTTACTTGAGGGCTGCCTTATAGCATTTAAAATACTATAGCTAGGAAGTGTTACCAGGAAGGTTTTGGCTAGTGGTGTATCCTAATCTCTATAATAACAAGCCCTATTGTCATGGGATCATGTGAAATCAAATATTCTGGTTAGTGTGATGCATTGAATTCTGTATCAATGGAAGTTCACCTAAAAGAACATTCTGTTTCCATTTTCTCCACAGTCCATCCTCCTGGTGTATCTGTCAGATCACTACTAGTGTCATTCATTATGCATCCCATAGTGGCATATGCCATTGGATGGGAATATTTATGTCATACTTTCCCCACATCTCTCATACAGTTAGCAGTGCTTGTCAGGGCCTGAGACTATGGCTGTTCTTGCACTATGTAATGAGGATAGTGATAGTGACCCGTCTATTGGCAGTTCTTGTCCGTCTCCACCAGGAGGAAATAGGCCTCAGGCAGCAAACACCCTTTTTAAGTTTCCAAGTCATTTGTGGGTATGAGCGTATCTACGAGCAAGCTGTGCACAAACAGTGTGTTTCCAGTGGGTTTAATTTAATGGATGAGCAGAAAACATGGCAATTAGGCTTAACCACTGAAGAGCTAACGGGAAAATAGGCAGCTGCACGCTGAAGTAGCAGCTAATAAAAAAGAAAGGTATATGTGAGGTAGCAAGGCCTTCAGAAGTTTCAGCTGAAGCAACTCTAAATACCACATAAGGCTTCCTATTCACGGCATTCTTTGATGGTCATTGGTTCATTTTTAATGCAGGGCATCGTTCTTGATTGTGACCACCATCTTTGTTATTACGATCATCGTCATTACTATTACAATTGTTGATGATAATAATGATGATAATAATAGAATGAGATGGCTCCAACTAGGAACTTTAATGAATAACCAATATACTCAGGGAAATTGTAGTTTATATTCCTTTTCTTTTTTAAAACTAAGTATTAAAAAAAACAATTTTTCAAATTCTACATACTTGTTTTTTCCAAGAGTTGAATTTTCCACATTTGGGATAAGGGGAAGAAATAATGTGTTCCTTGTTTAAAATGTACCTACAAATGTTGCCATTCATGTGAGATCTCTCCAAAAAAACAGATCTTTTGGGACAGGAAGAGAATTTAAATTTGCAAGGAACTTTCATTAGTGTAAACACAAGACCCATTATCATATTGATTGGGCACCAGACCTGGGTGCTTCTCAGTTCTGTCGGCTACATGATGAAGTACAGAAGGGGCGCATGGGAGACAGCATTAATTACTGGAGGCAGCATCATTGCTGACCTGATACAAGATTAACTGCTACTTTGAAGCCTTTATTCCCCAGACACTAGAGCTGTCTGGTTATCTCACTTCACTTGAAGGACCCAGGACAATAGCAGTGCTGATGGTAATGCTGGCAATTTCCCTGTTTGTTTTGCAGGTCACTGCTCGGGGGTTCGGCCCATTGTTACAGTTTGCCTACACTGCGGAGCTGTTACTCAGTAGAGAGAACATCCAGGAGGTCATCCGCTGTGCCGAGTTCCTGCGCATGCACAACCTGGAGGATTCCTGCTTCAGTTTCTTGCAGACCCAGCTCCTAAACAACGAGGATGGCCTGTTCCTGTGCAAAAAAGACACCTCTTGCCAACGCATGCATGGAGACATGGAGAACTCGGAGGGGGAGGAGGAGGAGGAAACAATGGAATCAGAAACCTCCAAGATATCGTGTCCCAAGGAGCGGGTGCATCCAGAACCCCTTGGCTTTGAGTCTGCAGCCCCAGTAGCAGAGAAGGAAGAAGGCGTGCTACCTGACTCCGACGCGCCGAGGGACGAAGGCAGGGGCAGTCTGGACAAGGATACGCTAACACGGTACCCCAGATATAAGAAATACCAGCTTGCTTGTACCAAGAATGTTGTCTACAACACATCGCACATCAGTACCTCAGGTTTTGCAAGCGCACTCAGTGAAGAGAACCCTGGCACCGGCCTCCAGGCGGGACTGGCCATGGGGCAGATCAAAAGTGAACCTTACAGTGAAGAGAATGACGAGGAAAGCATCACACTTTGCCTGTCTGGAGAGGAGCCCGATGTCAGGGACAAAGAGGGGGATGTCGAGATGGAAAGGAAACAGCCTAGCCCCATCCCCACCCCTGTGGCCACCACGTCTGCTGCTGCTGCTGCTGCTGCTGCTGCTGCAGCCACCGCTGCTACCCCCTTGGCCACCTGCATGGACAGATCTAAAAGCGGCTCCTCTCCTTCCTGTTTAGGGTCTCTCTTCAACAGAACAAAAAGTGCGGAGTTGTCGGGCTTGCCCAGTACTTCCCAACAGCACTTTGCCAGGAGTCCAGCTTGCCCTTTGGACAAGGGGACAACTCAGGGTGACCATAAAACTGACTACAGCCCTTTCACAGGGAATTATGGACAGTCCCATGCCAGTCAGAAAGATGCTTCCAGCGTCCCAGTGGGGTCTCCTCTCAAGGGGCCCGGGTTTGAAACTCTCTGTAAGCAAGAAGGTGAGCTGGACAGGCGGAGTGTGATCTTCTCTTCCAGCGCCTGCGACCAAGGGAACACTTCAGTGCATTCATATTCTGGCGTCACCAGTTTGGACAAAGACCTCCCTGAGCCCGTGCCAAAGGGTCTTTGGGCAGGAGCTAGCCAGTCCCTCCCTAGCTCACAGACCTATTCCCACAGTGGACTAATAGCTGATCACTTGCCAGGAAGGATGCGGCCTAATACCAGCTGCCCGGTGCCAATTAAAGTTTGCCCTCGCTCTCCCCCCTTGGAGACCAGGACCAGGACCTCCAGCTCCTGCTCCTCCTACTCCTACGCAGAAGATGGGAGTGGTGGTTCTCCCTGTAGCCTCCCTCTCTGTGAATTCTCCTCCTCTCCCTGTTCCCAGGGAGCTCGATTCCTTGCCACTGATCATCAGGAGCCAGGCCTGATGGGAGATGGAATGTACAACCAAGTCCGACCCCAAATTAAATGTGAGCAGTCCTATGGAACCAACTCAAGTGATGAGTCTGGATCGTTCTCTGAAGCAGACAGTGAGTCATGTCCTGTGCAAGACAGGGGCCACGAGGTAGGGAGTTAAGATAAGTAGAAGTGTGTAACCCATTTAACTGACCCATTATTGGGCTGCCATAGTTCCCTAGGGCTTACCCCTCTCTCCCTCTTCCCAGGTTTTTCTTATTACCAGGGGCAGAAGGTTCTAGGGTGGTTGGGATACATCTCCCTGCCCATCTCCAGAAGCTCTTTGGTTGGAGATTGTACCTAGTTTGTTTGAATTGCTATTTAAATTTTAATAGCCCACAAACAGCGTGGCACAGTGGAAAGAGTGTTGGATTTGGAAGCCTGCTAATTACAATGTGTACAACCTTGAGCAAGTCCCTTTCCCTCTCTTGGCCTTCAGTTTCTTTCGTCTTTAAAATGAAGGGGTTGGACAGGATGACTGGCTCTAAAACTAGGATCCTAAGCACCCAGAGTGGGCATGACCCAGACACAGGTCACCTCCCAGAGGCTCTGCTAGCAAAGCATACACATTGAAAAGTCCTACCAAACTAAAAAAGGTCTTAAAAAATGGCCACTATATGTCCATCCTGCAGAGACCAGCCTAGCTAAGTCCAGGAGCTCTTTGCTAGAAGGTTAGTCACTAGGTGATGACTTTTCATAGCCACAGTCTTCTATCTGGTAAGGCTTGGAAGGGAATTGTGATTTGAACGGGTAGAGGAACCAATGAACTCTCAGATACTTGAAGCATTAAAATCACAAACATCCAACAAGAAGGGCAGCAAGGTGGCGCAATGGATAGAGCACTGGCCCTGAAGTCAGGAGGACCTGAGTTCAAATGTGACCTCAGACCAAACACTTGACACGTACTAGCTGTGTGACCCTGGGCAAGTCACTTAGCCCCAGTTGCCTAAAAAAACAACAACAACAAACAAATATCCAACAAGTGCAGTTAAATAGCCTAATGGTAAAAGCAAATCTATCTAGATTTCACTGAGATAGTTCTTAAGTTTTTTTCCCAGTGTTTAGCACATTCCTGGCACATAACAGGCACGTAATAAATGTTTATTGATTGAGTTTTCAAATGTCACCTTTCTCCCTGCTTCCTTTCTCACCACTAAGAGACTTGAGCCTTAGCAGTCCAATCCTGGGAGTAGCCTTCTTGCCTTTTAGGGAAAGAACTAGCCTTACCTAAACTGAGGAAAAGGGAGGGAGACCTAGGTAGTCCTGGTTAATTCTACCACAGCCCCATAATCTTTAAACAGCTGGGTTATATAAGTGCCTTCATACTCCCCCTCCTCCACCCCCAGCCTAAAGAAAAGCATGAGTCCTCTTTCAAAAAAGAATATTTATTCATTTTAGGTCATTTAGTTTGCTTTTTTTTTTTTAATAAAGATTGATTGAAACTAGGAGTTGTTCAGAGGGGGCAGAGGGCTAGGGGTGGGGGAGAGCAGACCTGTGATTTCATTAGTTTAGGAAATTACCTACACTAATAAAATTCCCTCTACCAGTATAGATCAGCATCTACTCTGCAATTTATAGGCTTAGAGAGTTGCCTGGCAACTGAAAAATTAAGTGACTTGGCCAGGATCACACAACTAGCATGTGGAAGAGATAGGACTTGAACCTAGGCCTTCCTGAATCCAAGATTGACTCTCTAGCCATGTCTGCCTCTTAATATACAAACAAGCAAAGTGGTTAAATAAAGAGCACGTTGGAGTTGGGGTGAAAGGACCTTGGTTTGATTGCAGGTCTTTCTGATTCCAAGTTCAGCTCTCACTAATCCATAGCTGCTTCTTAATATCCACACCATGGATAAATTTATCCCTGTTAAACAATAGTGGTTTTCAGGTCTTCTTTATGCTGTGCTTATAAACAGAAGACCCTGGAGCTGGGCTTAAAGGTTCTTAGTCTCTTTTATGCTGTCCCTACTTTGATCCCATTTCCCAAGGTGACGCCAGAAACACACAGTCAAACATAACGCTGAGGGGGAGAGACGTCACTTAATATTCCCTCTATCAGTTATAGGAAATGAGATTTAATGGGTAGTGGAATTGAGCTCTTGATTTTCATCCAACACTGAAATTGAAATGCTTATACTTGAAGAGATTCAGTTTTTCAATGTGATAGGTGATGAGGTTGGGGTCAAGACCAGATACCTCAGAGAGGTAAGAGGACTAAGGAAGAAGAATAAGAACCCCATGTTTTTCCACTCTGACGAATCTGCTAAGAAGGTCGTAGGGAAATGCTTAGATAGTATGTGTCATGATTTGGTAGTTGGTTTGGATCGTTTTGCTGATTGGTGCTGAAGTGAATACAGGTGAGCCCAGCCACCTCCTGGGCTTGCTATCTGCCTTAGAACCAATGGGTGGGTCTTGTCCTCAGCTGTCAATTGGAAGAATGTAGAAACAATGGGATGTTCACCTTTGTGCCAGTCGGGGTAGGGGGATGGAACAGATGCTGAGTTTGAATTCCAGCTCTGCCACTTACTATCTCTGTTACCTTGGACCTCTTGTGGCCTCAGTTTCCTCCTCTGAAAAATGAGGGTGTTGGACTAAAACTCTAAATCTGTGGTCTTATGATCCCTTAGAGTTCACAGACTACCTCTGGATCTTGAAGGCATAGGTCACAGGGCTGGGGAAGATTAATTTAATCAGAGAGCTGAAATTCCATTAAGTTGAGGGAGGGGGGACAGGGAGGGAATGTCTTTTCAGAAAGCGTTGTGAGGTTGAATCACTCAGCCAGTATGAAGTCTGCAAGAAGGCCATGAAGTTTTTAGCTTGATGTGGGATTTTGAAAATGGATCTCCTGCAATCACCTGCTTTTGTAAAAGGCATCTTTGCCAATAGTCACCTGCCACCTGCATTGCTTTCTAGTTTTCTGCCCCTTTGCTCCTATAAAACAAAAGCAGGAAATTATTTTAAATTGTTAATCATTTCAATTTTATTTAATAATAAATTAATTAATAATTGTAATGCTCACAAAATTTTTAAATTATTTTAAAGAGTATTGGAAAATTATTAAAAATAAGTTAGCTGAATAAATAGGAAGTGAGGAGAATTTTTCCCAGCTGAATGCATCAGGGTCACTTGGATTATATATCTTGGCACATAGTAAGCATTTAGTAAAGGCTTTTTCATCCATCCATACTAGAGTCAGTCCACAGTTAAATGTGACATTGACCTTGAGTGAATGGAGGTTTTATGAAACAGGTCAAGGGTTTCTTTCCCTCTTGCTCTCTTCGGTCTCTTTCTTTCTGGGTCTGATAGAGCCTCTATTTTGTGAAACTGTTGACTTAATGTCCAGTTTATCAACATAATGATTTGGGGAACCCCGGCATAAGGAAGGAGTGATTTGCTGTAGAAAAGGACACGTTAAAAAAAAGGCAAACAGCTTTTAATTTCCTTTTTTTTCCTTCCTTAAGAAAGTTATTTTAAAAAGGTTGTGTTTTTATAGTGGCTGCATATACTTAAGAAGCTGCCAATTTCACATAAATCTCCTTTTACCCCACCAACTTCTCAAAAGAGAAGTTAGTCATTTATTGGCACTTAATGCTACCAACAAGAATGGGGATGTTTCCTCTGTTCAGCTGCCTTAAGATATAGCAACGGCAATAAAACTAGACATATTGAATTTTTTAAGAAGTAATGATCAGTCAAGCTGTAATAATAATCTGAAATAGCTCCTCCTCTTTTTCAATATCTTGCTTTAGAATATAATTTGTGTTTATACTTTCCAAAAAAATTTTTTTTAATTTATAAATAATGAAAAGAGAAATCTTCCAGTCAGCTGGAACACTTATAAACCATATTTGCCTTGACACAATGATGCTGCCAATACCTGTGTATTTTTTAACATCATGATTTATTGATCAGTAACCAATCTTAAATTTGAAAGTTTCAAATTATTATAACGTTTTTGTCCAGACACTTAATTTAATCATGGAATTCAGCCCAGTCCTAGAGAGAAGGCTCATTTAGACATCCAGTAACCAAAACTGTCATAAAGGCATAGGTCCTTTAAATCTGAAGATGTTTGTGAGGGCTTTTTTCATTAGTTCTGTGACTTTTACCTTAGTTAAAGTTTTTCACAAAGAGAGAGAGAGAGAAAGGAACTCCCTAGCTGTTTAACATTAAAATGAGCAGATTTATCTTGACAACCAGAATTAACGAGTAAGACTTGAAATGCTAAAGGAAAAAGGTGGGTTCCCAGGTAACCCCAACACACAAAATGCTGACTTCCCAAGCTCTTGTTTTATACTTAGTTGAATCAGGTGGGCATGTGTATTGTATACATGTATATGTATATGTGTGTGAGTATACACATACACATACAGTGATCTATATGTATATATACAACAACACTTAAGGGAGTTATAATTTCATCTGAATGCATACTCCCCCTACTGACCCAAAATACAACCTTCCTTTAATTCATTAGATAAATTGAAATTGCCAAAATATCCATACCCCTGTAGCCAAACTCCTGTCAACTAGGTTGAGGGACGGCTAGGTTGCGCAATGGATGGAGCACTGGCCCTAGAGTCAAGAGGACCTGAGTTCAAATTCGGCCTCAGACACTTGACACCACTTAACCCCATTGCCTACACACAAAAGAAAAAACAACTAGGATGATCCTCAGAAAAGATATAGATATATAGAAATATATACACACATATATATATATACACACATATATATACATATATATGGATTTTTTTAATTGTATCTGTGACTAATCTGCTATTTAAAAAGAAAAAATATCCTCAGCTGCATATATTTCTAGCTGGCATTGTATTTTTACTCTATGTAGACCCTGTTCAGATGAAGATTTCTTAGTCTCTGCAGTACTAAAGCATGCTACATGAAGGATAAAAGAAACACCATGAGAAGGAGGATTAGGAGTACTCCTTGGGAATGATAATATTAACATTACATCTAAATGGAACCATTAGTTTTTTAAAGCACTTTCACATCTATTTTTCCATTTTATCTTCAGAAGAACCTTATCAGGTAGCCAAGGCAGGTAAGAGATTCAATTAAATTTATCCACCTATCTATTTATGAGGCATAA